AGGTACACCATCATTGTCTTAATTTGTAAGATGTAGCAGTTTGAATGTGTAAACTCTTTTGGAGATAACTGAGTTGTTTTCCTTTTGTGATACTTCAACCAGTCTAACTAAGCAGTTTCCAAGATAATTGAGTCGTTACCAAGCCTTATCATAATCACTATGTACGACCAAAAAAAATAATAGTCTGTTGACTGTGTAGTGTGATATTATGTGTTCTGCACCAAAAATAAAGCATAGTACGATGGGTGTTTCGTATAGGTGACTGTCATCGACTTTAGCGAAATAGGGATTGACTTCGTACTACATGAACACGCTTTCGATATTAAGTATAAGGGCGGTCTAGTGAGTCTAGATAGAGACTCTAACAAAATGCAATCTTCTGAACATGGTGAGCAGGAATCTTAGTATGTTAGTTTTTCCACTCTCCGCTGGTAAATGTAAGATGATGCTTCAAAGATGGTCTTCGCTGACTAACTGCTAGTTTAAAGATTGTGTATTTAATTTATTTAAACGCATAAAAACTTAGTACATTATGGCACCAAGAAAGATGCGCCACAGAATAATAATAAAACAACATAGATCAAAAGAAAAAAAAGAAGGAAGAGAAAAAAATATATATAATTAGAGAACGGATAAAGGACTTCATCTGGAAGGAAAACGGTCATGCTTAACAAGTTCAAACAGTATTCGCCAACTATCATCGGGAAGGGAAGAAAGAAGGAGATTGCAACACGTGTAATAACATGCGATAAGTTTCATTGCTTGTTTGTTGCTTTATTCAATTCATTGTGTGAGGGCTGAGATACTGCCCGGGCGCCCAGATCGAAGCAAGTGGTTTTATTAAGGGACCACCCCGCCGAGCCTTCGACTTGAAGTCTAATCCGCAAGGCAGCGGAGCAGCGTCAGGAGTTGCATTCCCATGGTCTCCGGCGACCCATATGGGTTCAAACGCCATTTGATCCGATTGGATACTGGAGCCCATATACCCTATGGTAACTGCTTTTAGTTTAACCACTATCCAAACAACCTTCCTGACATGGTAAGACCTGCAGGGACAGGTCCCAGTAAGTTTAGAATGTTGGGTCATTACGGTATTCAAGCTCAACCACCACTAAAAAGTAGCAGTTATCGGCCGGGAGTTTGAAGGTAGAAATTGAAATGGTTGAGTGTGTTGGGAAGTTGCATACGCCCTAATGGATTGTTGACAAAATCTCACCATAGATACCAAAAGATGGAAAGAACACTTTGAGGGACAATTTAACTTGCCTACAGCCACACTGAACCTCCCCGACATCCAGAACACACCCGAATGGGATATAGACACTGGTCCGCCGTCTGTAAGTGAAATCACAAAAGCTATCAGTAATTTGAAACGAGGCAAAGCGGCAGGACCCGACGGAATTATTCCGGAGGTGTTTAAATATGGGGGTGACATACTAGTTTGTAGATTAACTGAGGTACTAGGCAACGTCTGGGAATCAGAGACAGTTCCATCAGACTGGGGTAAGTCACTTATTATACCGATATTCAAGAAGGGAAACAAGTCCTCGTGTGATAATCATAGGGGGATCAGCCTAACGAACATAGTCTCTAAAATCCTAGACTCAGTAATCATGCATAGACTAAGCAGAACTCGGGAGGAACAGACAAGGGAAAATCAAGCAGGCTTTAGACCAGGTAGAGGGTGCATAGATCATATCTTCACTCCTCGACAGATTCTAGAACATAGACACACTTTTCGGCGTCCAACAATTGTCATATTTCTTGACTTGAAGGCGGTCTCTGACTCCGTGGATCGAAAGGTACTATGGCAATGTCTGACTGTGAAGGGAGTGCCAAGAAAGTACATTGCACTAATCAAGGCACTCTATTCAAACTCACGTAGTCGTGTAAGGGCTTATGGGGAATTGTCATCTGAATTGGTAACAACCAGTGGTGTCCGACAGGGATGTCCACTTTCCCCATTTCTGTTTAACTTCATCATAGATATGCTGATGGAAGTATCCTTAACTGAACGTAATGACTTAGGAATCGACTTGTTACCAGGGAATAGTCTTATGGACTTAGAATATGCAGATGACATAGTCCTGTTAGGGGAGGATGCTGACAAAATGCAGAGTCTTCTGAACACCTTGAGCAGCAATCTCCGTATGTTTGGCATGCGATTCGCCCCTACAAAATGTAAGATGCTGCTACAGGACTGGACCACGTCAACTCCTAACTTAGTGATAGGGAGTGAAGTGATAGAACATGTTGACCACTTCACCTATTTGGGAAGTTGTATTAGCACCAACGGACTGATTGGCGATGAAATCTCAGCACGGATCCGAAAAGCTCGAGCTGCTTTCGCTGACTTACACCATCTCTGGCGTAGGCGTGACATCCGGTTATCAACCAAGGGACGTGTGTACTGCTCATCAGTTCGCTCCGTCCTTCTCTATGGCTCTGAAACATGGCCAATACGAGTTGAAGACATGAAAAGATTGACTGCTTTCGATCATAGATGTCTGCGATCTCTGTCTCACGTTAGGTGGTTTAATAAGGTAAGTAATGTTGACGTTAGGCGTAGAGTGTTGGGCAAAGAGGGAAAATCAATCGACGAGGCTATAAAGTTACATAGACTAAGATGGCTAGGTCGCGTGTTGCGCATGCCTAACCACCGCCTCCCCCGACGGGTATTGCTAGCTGATATAGGTGAAGGTTGGAAAAGAGCCAGTGGTGGCCAAACAAAAACATGGCATCAATCCATGAAATCCTTGACAGTTAAACTGAGTCAGGTAGGGAGATGCAGACTCCCGGGTTGGGGCCCTCGGGACTCTAGGAATCAATGGCTGGAGACAATAGGTGACATGGCTCAAAATCGTTGTCAATGGCGCAGATGTATTCAGTCTCTGTAATCTTTCATATTCCTTTCTACCATTACCCATTCTTTTTCACTCTTATACTTGTCAGACTCTATTGATTCTCTTCACTCATCTTCTTGTCTACCTCTGTGTGCTATTTGGAACGTGGCAACTCGAACTGCTGCACTTGGGTGCCAAGTTCTATGTTGAATCCAGACAGACAGACAGAACTGATGCGAGTCGACGGGAAATTCGATGTCGATGATTTCTTTCAAATCACTGCAAAAATAGGTTATTATTCCAGATGAGAAATAATTAACATGCGTAGCGACAATCTAGTGATTTTCATTACCACTATCAAAATTAACAGGACTCTCCATAAACACATTAAACTAAAGAAAGCCGCATTCACTTTAGCACACCGATGCCTTGATCGTATGCTTGTCTCTCGCCGACTCCTTGAACGGCGTCATAAATATTGAAGGTAAAGAATTGTTATTTCTTGGTGTTGGAGTCAACATTGACTCGATCGACCTAACTACTATTAGGAAATGTATCTTGAAGAAGTGTATCACTGTGAAGTCTGACAACATCCCTAAAGAGCTATTTAAAACGCCTTGGAAATGGAGGAGGAGGGTGAGACAGACAGAGGCAGACAGAGAGGGAGAGCGAGCGAGCGAGAGAGAGAGAGCATCCAGTGACTTTGCACAACCAGATATAGTGTTTATTCAGGTTTGCTAGCCTCGACATTTTGAAGGCTAGCTACTCTGAAGATATGCTAAATGAAGGAATACTATTCAGCGATATTTTCTCATTTCTCTCTGACAATGCACAAAGTAACTTGGAAGGCTGGCGACAGCCTGAGATATTACTCACGTCGGTAGAGGCACAACACGAAGTAGTCAAATATCTCATGTATTCAAGTGGTAGTGTAGGTATGACAGTTGAGTTGAGATTACCCGGTCTATATCGAAATCCAAAATGGTATGTGTCAAATAAAATAGTCTCAAGATTACGATGTGAATGTGGTTATGGAAGGTCGACTTTCGAACGGGTTGGTGTATGCAGTTTCACTCCGTACTGGCGAAATCTGACACCTTCTCCAGTTCCTGCAAATCTTTAATATATTTGTCGAATTATCTATCCCCTTATCCAAATGTTAATCAATTGAAGTATCACTACGTTTCTGTGCTCTTTTTTCACCTGCTCTACACAAGTTTGATAACTTAAAATGATGCAGCTCTATGAAAGCTTTTACGCCGATGCGTCAGTCAGTGGTAGTCAAACAAGACTGGCTGAGTTTCCGAGGTAGAACTCTGCATAGAAGCTCATCAGCTTAAGTTGCAATACTTCACAGAAGTACACAAACGTCGAAGAGGTATGCAAAGGAAATATAATAAGCGAAAGGGTAGGCAAAAACCAAGTCGACGCAGTTCATACAGTGGAAGCATGTGCACCCTTGTGAACAACTTTGAGCCATGTTAAGAATAGTCTGAAACCATTATTTCTTAGCGTTTCCACGACACAAACCCGGCAGTTGACATCCAACTGACAGTCAAAGACTTCAGCTATTGAGGCCAGATTTTGATTTCATCACACCCAGCTTTCTCCAACCTAATCTTATATGAAACATTGTATAATGCTGTGAAATGAAAGAATAGCATAATTTCACTCATCTACTTGACTGTTCTTGATTTTCCGGAAGGGTGTGGTTATAACTTAGCAGTACCAATAAATTTACACACTGTTTTTTTTCCCATCTTCTACAAACTGTTTTGTGGTCACCATTTAATGTCAATTTTTTCTGAATTAATCAATGCGAAGTGTTGCGCTTGCGGTTATCAGTTCTAATACCTATCACTGTAGTTATGGACTTAGCCAGTCACGCCGAAATCAGTGTCATAGTACGCACTGTGTAGAAAACTGACTATAAATATATCTATTCGGCTGACTGACTAAGTAAAATGTATCTATTCTGTCATCCGCTGCTTTCAATTTCTTACTTCGTAAAAAATATTAGCCTCTTTCAGATATTTATTTTTCAATGAATATTCATTGGAAATGGTTTCTTGGCTATCAAATGCACTTTCTCTGTATAACTTGTCTTATCTTTCGTTATCTCTATCCCAAACCAATGATTACGTTTGTGAATTGTAGGTTGTATTCACGTGTTTAAAACGTTTTTCCAAGGGGATCGTTCAAAGTCCGTGATACCAGTCAATTTTCTCTGTGATTATGCCTATTCGTAAGGAGACTACTCGTCACCACCTTAGGGAAATAACACATAAGGAGAGAATTCAGAAAGCTAAAGAACGTAGAATCAAACGTAAACAAAGGAAGGAAAGTGGTACACCTGCAGGAATTCCTCAAACTCTTGAATCACTTCGGACGGTGGATGAAACTATTGTTCCAAGGAATGATGACGAAGTGATAATCGAACATGAAACAGTATGTTTCAATAAATAATAGATGGTTTTGGTTTTAATCTAGGATGAGCTTTCACCTATTTTCAATGGAGAAGTAACTCCGAAAATTTTACTGACTTATTCTGATCGTGTTTGTCCCAGGACTATTGGATTTTGTAAAGAACTTAGCAAGGTAAGTGTTTTGTATCTAAATAAAAAATTAATGTGATAAAATCTTTTATAAAAAAATATTGATCACTGTTGAGTGTTTAAGAGAAACATTTTGACTATATTTATGTGCAAATTGCTTCTTAGGATATATGAGCAATATAGGTGCATGGTATTGAAGAAGCATCAGGAAAGGTGATACATCGAAGTTGCAATCAGAAAATATTACAAACGGTTGCAAGGTAGTTAAAGAGTGTAGCGAAGTGAATTGGGTAGTGAATAAAGGTACTGAATACTTTAAGGTTCTAGAGTTGTATTCATGAAAAACTGTCTCAACCAATAATCTAGATACAGAAAATAAAGAACAGTTTATGATTAAAATGAAAATTTCTGGAAGATTTGAGTGTCGCGAAAATTCCTATTTGCACATTTAAAAGATAAAGAACTAAAGGAATATTTACTTTTCAGTTAGAATGTGGCTGAACGAATTTGCCTCAACACGTATATTTAGACTTTTGGGGTGAATCCCAATGGTATCTGTTATTATTGTGGAATCGACCTTAGCAGTCTGATTACTCATTTATTCAAATTTCTCAACACATAAATTATGTACTGTGTAACCGTCTGTTTTCACTGACTAGTTTCAACATAGAACTTTGCACCGATGTGCAGCAGTTCGAGTTGCCACGTTCCATGTAGCAAACGAAGTATGAGAAAGTAAAATAGAGGCAGTAAACAGAGATATGAGGCAAAAGGAATAGTAATATCGAAGAGCAACATAGTTTTATTGGGCATTATAAGTCACAAGGAGGGGATGCATCTGTGCCAGTCATTGAGAGCGGTTTTCAGCCATATCATCAATTGTCTCCAGCCATTGGTTTCTATCGTCCCAAGGACCTCAACCAGGAAGTCTACACCTTCCTACGTGACTGGCTTAAACTAACTTTTGTGGATTTCATTGACTGATGTAGTCATGTTTCGGTTTGACCACCAATGGTCTTTTTCCAACCTGATCCATCCTATGTTAGCAAACACTGTCCCTCGAGGAAAGTGGTGGCTAAGTATGCGTAACACATGTCCTAACCATCTCAGTCGATGTAGCTTCGCAGCCTCGTCTATTGATTTCCCCTCCTTCCCTAGCGCTCGACCGATGCCTAACTTCAATATTGCCTACCCTAGTATATTAACTGACACGGGAGATAGAACGCAGTCACCTATGATCAAAGACAGATAGGCTTTTCGTAACTTCCGCTTTCAATAGCAATGCCTCATAGCCATAAAGGAGGACAGAGTGGACTGCTGAGCAGTATACACGCCCCTTTATCGACAACCAGCCGGATATCACGTCTACGCCAGAGATGGCGCAAGTTGGCATATGCGAAACAGGCCTTCTGTATCCATTCTGAAATTCCGTCAGTAGTCAACCCATTAGAGCTGATGCAACTCCCCATATGAGTGAAGTGGTCAACAAGCTCGACGACTTCACTCCTTATTTCTGAGCTAGGAGTCAATGTAGTCCAGTCCTGTAGCATCACCTAACATTTTGCGGGACCGAATCGCACGCCAATCACTCAAAGATTGCAGCTGAAGGTATTCAGAAGACTCTGCATCTTGTCACCGTCTTCACTCAGATAGGAGGATTACATTATCTCCATATTCTAAGTCAACGAGATTATACCTTGGTAACAAGTCAATCCATGAGTCGCTGGAGTCAGTAGTTAGGGTTAATTTCATTAGTACGTCTATGATGAAATTGAATAGAAATGGGGACAGTGAGTATCCCTGTCGGACACCACTAGTTGTCACCAGTTAAGATGACAACTCGTCATAAGCTCTCAGCTGGCTGACTGCATGAGTTCGAGTAGAGCAGAGTCCCTTGGTCAGTCCAATGCATTTCCTCGGCATCCCCTGTATAGCCAAACATCGTTAGATTATCTCTCGGTCGACAGAATCGAATGACGCCTTTAGGTCAAGAAATATGAAGATTGTTGGACGCCAGTAAGTATGTTTATGTTCCAGAATCTGTCGAAGGGTGAAGATACGATCAATGCACCCTCTTCCTGGTCTATAGCTTGCCTGGTTCTCTCATGTTTGTGGCTACCGAGTACCACTTATTCTTCGCAATATTATTGAGCCTAGGACTTTAGATACTATATCAGTCAAGCTAATCCCTCTGTGATTATCACAGGAAGACTTGTCTCCCTTCTTGAATGTGGGGATAATCAATGACTTATACCAACTCGCCGATGCCTTTTCCATCCTTTTCGCTTCTGTCGCCCACTAATGTTCACGGTCTTTGCGAAGGCTTCTTGGTAGTTTGCATTTGAATAGCTTTCTCTCCTTTTCAAAATCGGATGTCGCTGGAGTTGTTCTTCTTGGGTCAATCATTTCGGATGAGGTGGTAGAAATCCAGTGGCTCTTACTAACTTTAGGTTTCAGGTTATTAACAGCTTTTATGGCTGTGTCTACAGCTAACTGTATGTTGTGCCAGGCTACCTCAGGAGGTGGCACAGTGGTTAGGACTCTCGCCGACCATGCACATGGTCCGGGGTTCGTGCTCGCACCGACGCACACCTGATATCTATGGTCGGCCTGCAAAATTTGGGCTACCGATATCCATGCTGAAAATTCCATACTTGTACCGAAAATACAGTGTGGAATCAAGCTGTAAATCAAAATAAAAAAAAATACTGCTGTCGACCTCAGATAATCGTTTCGCTATTTCTTCCGTGAATAGGGATCGGAGTCTCGATCTAGTTGGAGACGTAACTGCTTCGCTACCAGCAATGTTTCATGTCCGTTTAGTCGTAAGCATAAACCTCCGCAAACCAGGTTGTGATCAGAGTCTACGCACGTGTTCCAGAAGGATCGGCAGTCTTCTGCTGACCCTCGCCAACGATACCATATGGCTATGTGGTCCTAGTCCAGCGTTGATTTGGTGCTGGAGGTTGCCGGGTTACGCAGTGTCTTTCTTTGTGCCTAATATTAGTGCTGACTAGAAGCAAATGATTATCTGAACAGAACTGTAGGAGAAGATCACCGTTGTCGGTTCGTCGACAGGGAACTCCATACACACCACCTACATACTTTTCATTCTGGCACATTTTCCCTACTTGTGCATTGAAGTTGCCTGCTAAAACAACTATATCTGAACGCTTTGCTATTTGCAGCAAATTAGACAGTTTCTATGGCTCTCATCGTTGTTTATGGTCACAGGGTGAAGTGAAGATGACTCACTAGCCTGAAGAATATACTGACTGTAGTAGATGGGAAAGATGATGGTGATGTGGGTAAAGGAGAATGATGCTCGGGAAAGCTTCGTGTGCTTTAGGAAGTGTACAGGCGGTTGTTACTTCCCGGCTGCCCACACCTTGGAAATTGATTAAGTCTTTGGGTTCCTGAAACAAAAACAGGGTTAGTGTTGCGTGATCGTAGACCCCAAGGGACAACTGCTTGAGGCCTGTCACACACGGCCTATATGAACTGGTTTCTTTGATTCCGTATTAGTAAACTTACCTCCGGTTACAGACCACCATAGGGTAAGTCCGTAATGTACAAATTTTGGGGTCGACCTTTTCTAATCCCCTCTCTCCAGAGTAGAGAGACAGCATAGTTAGCATGTTGGTCATCTGAGGGAAGCACCTTACTGCTTTAACATCCGTCCCCAGCTAGTTTAAACAAAATTCTTACACAATGCCGGTAACTGCTTTTAGTCTAGTCGCTATCGTGACAACGTTCCTTGCATGGTAGAACCTGCAGGTGCAATAGTTACAGCCAGTGTAGCTTGTTGGGTCATTGCGATATGCAAGCCCGACCGCCTCGTCGAGGTAGCAGCTATCGGTTGGGGCCTGTTTTAACTTCCACAATTGTCGTACTATTTTTCTTGGTTAACTGTTACTCCATTGACGTGTTGATACTTTCTGTTGTTTAAAACTTTATCACGACTAGATTGATAAATTATTGCATTAAAAATGCTAAATATATCAAAGTATTTAATTGAAAAGTGAGTATTCATTCACCAATTCATTATCTTCTACATAAAAATACTTACTCCATAAGAGTACATCATATTTATTCCAGTTAAGACATTGGTCTGGATGCTAATTCAGCGTGCTTAGTTAAATATGTATCGCAAGACATTTGGTCAAAACATTTGTGCCACTTGGGTCACGAGTATGAAACCTTAATTTTAGCTCCATATTAGTTTGTTTATTAGATGTATCACACTGTGAAACAGTATTTATTTATTATCCAGTAAATAATACTGTTTCACTGTGTGATACATCTAATAAACAAACTAATATGGAATTACGTACTACCATAGTGCCCAAGTTTTACACATATCTTAATTTTTAGCTATTATTATCATCATTATTATTACTCATAATATTACGAATTTTCTAAATGTGTAGGTTATTCCAAATGTTCATGTTACTGCGCGTTGGCATTTACCTCTGAAGAAAATCATACCTTTAGCCATTGAACGTGGATTCACATGTTTGTTAACTGTAAACGAAGACCAAAAGAAGGTCAATACTGTAGTTATTAGTCATTTACCTAACGGACCGACGGCTACATTTCGTTTAACTAATGTGTTACTTCGTCGAGAAATGCGTTCCAATCGAAAAAATAAATATATTGAGTCTAATGTTATACCTCACTTGATTACTACACGTTTCATGACACGTCTTGGTCTTCGCACTGAACGTATTTTAAGCGGAATGTTCCCACATATAAGTCGCCAACCACCAGAACCACATAGTAGAACAATTGTTTTTCACAATCAAAGAGATTACATCTTTTTCCGTCACTATCGTTATATTCATCAAAATACTGGTGTTAACGAGGATAAAAATGGCGAGAATGAGCATATCGTAATGAATGAAGTTGGACCAAAGTTCACCCTTAAATTACGATCAATTCAGTTGGGCACTTTTGATAGTCAATTCGGCAGCTATGAATGGGTACGTAAACGAACCGAAGTTGGCAGGAGTCGACGAACATTTGTTTTATAATTGATGAATGGTATATCTGCTGTAAATATAATTGTAATTTGTGAATGACTTTTGCTTTATAAAAAGAATTATTCAGAGTCTATAAATATACACTAAAAATAGATCTTCAGTTATCGATGGTTTTTATTAAACTGATATCATTTCATCAGCTTAGACACATCATAAGAGTAATTACCACTATTGGGGTTTCACCTTAATTCACATTATTAATTGTGGTCAATCGAATGATACCTTTATTATTTGAGTAGCATTTTCGAAATAACGTTCTTTTCCATAGAAGATATTTTTAAACGCAACAATGGTGTAGTTATATTAGGTATGGTGTATTGTTCGTAGTCGCTCAGGTAGGTTTATTAGTATCAAATGATTCTCAGTATGCTGTAGAACAATACTATTTACTATACAAAAAAGAAACCATTCAATAGGAACCTCAACCAAATGTGTAGTGCTGCTGAGACCAAACATTTCCATCCAGCTGTGAAATTCATCCATTTTTCTTTTCTTCACATGTTGTTTTGAATTATTTCTGTCATCTTTACTTAAGTCAACTGATAGTCACTGCCTGAAATCGTAGTCTTCATTCAACACAATTTCAGATTACTTCCATAAAGATGACTATCAAGTACTCTCACATCATTTATCTCGTTTTGCATCTTGATGATGGGCGGATCTTTACCAAAACTGTGTAAGGCCTTTTTGTTACTGTATCCTGCATGTCGGACTGCCTCACCAAAAGTCCCAAAGAAGTGCTTAGTAACTTTCGATTGGTTCATGCTACCTTCAAGTTTGGAAAATTCCATTTTGTCAGAAGGAAGTGGAAGTCTAACTAAGTTTCCGAATTGCGATGTAGTTTGCGAACTGTTGAATATGGATACGGGTGTTCCAGAACATAGGACACAATGATAGAGCTTGCAGTTGAGTTACTAACAGAACGATTGAATATATATATATCCCTCAAAATATTGGCGTTCATCAGTCGGTAGTTCATAAAGAACATAACTCCCCAAGGATATATTCCTGTTTACATACTACTCAAGGATAACAAAACAGTGGGACAGTCGATTGCACGGTAAATCGAAGAGAGGGGATTCGGGCAAAAAAGGTTAAGGATGAGTTATACCGGAAAAAAACTGGTATTTTTTGCTCCCCAAAAAGAGGTAGAAAAAATTATTCTAAAATACCAGAAAGATAAATGACAAATAAGGTAATGAGATGAATAGTATTCCTTATTCATTTGGTGTGTACACTAAACAAGTCTTTCATACATTCTCCTACAAATGCCAAAATTTCTAGTGTCACAAGTGTTAATGGATCCTGGTTTCACTACAAATGACGTTTTGAAATTTCTCCAGTCGTTGAACCCTTCTTATAGCCTACGTTCAGATAGTTTGCCTAACCTTATTTTTGAAAAATGTGCAGATATCCTGTGTTATCCTCTCATGGACATATTTAATGAATCTTTTTCCAGAAATGTCGTGTCAACCGTTTGAAGGGACATTAAAATTGTACCTATACCTAAGTCATCTACTGGAACATGTTTTAAATTTTCTAAAAACTATGGAAAAGTTACTCTTACTTAATCTTCAACTTCTGAACCTATTGTAGGGTGAAGATATCGTAAATACAGCTTTACTTGTGCTTGAGACCTTCCTGGTTATCACGAATATGTTCCTCTCGATCCCCACCTATGTACTCTACTAGTCAAGTATGGTAGCCCAGTAACTGTCACAGAAAGGTTACTAAAAGCAAAATATCTCAAATAATTAACACAAAAAATGCTCAAAAAATAAAATTCCAGTCGGTCAGACAAAAGGCTTACATTTAAAAATTTACATCTCGGAAATCCAGGAAATATTACGTGAACAAACAATCCATTAGGGTGTATGCAACTTCTCAAATAAGTGAATTGGTCAACACACTCAACCGTCTCACTCCCTATCTTTAAACTAGTAGTTAGTCAGCAAAGACCACTCGTGAAGTATCATCTTACATTTGGCAGTCGCGGATTTTATGTAGGGAAGCGATTGGCTTTGATATGAGTCCGCATTTAACAAAAATAGTCTATTCGCGCGATTATCTACACGACAGAATTCTAGGTGGGTGGACACATACAAGGACAAGAAGCCGAATTCACTTTAGCACACCGATGCCTTGATCGTATGCTTGTCTCTCGCCGACTCCTTGAACGGCGTCATAAATATTGAAGGTAAAGAATTGTTATTTCTTGGTGTTGGAGTCAACATTGACTCGATCGACCTAACTACCATTAGGAAATGTATCTTGAAGAAGTGTATCACTGTGAAGTCTGACAACATCCCTAAAGAGCTATTTAAAACGCCTTGGAAATGGAGGAGGAGGGTGAGACAGACAGAGGCAGACAGAGAGGGAGAGCGAGCGAGCGAGAGAGAGAGAGAGCATCCAGTGACTTTGCACAACCAGATATAGTGTTTATTCAGGTTTGCTAGCCTCGACATTTTGAAGGCTAGCTACTCTGAAGATATGCTAAATGAAGGAATACTATTCAGCGATATTTTCTCATTTCTCTCTGACAATGCACAAAGTAACTTGGAAGGCTGGCGACAGCCTGAGATATTACTCACGTCGGTAGAGGCACAACACGAAGTAGTCAAATATCTCATGTATTCAAGTGGTAGTGTAGGTATGACAGTTGAGTTGAGATTACCCGGTCTATATCGAAATCCAAAATGGCATGTGTCAAATAAAATAGTCTCCAAGATTACGATGTGAATGTGGTTATGGAAGGTCGACTTTCGAACGGGTTGGTGTATGCAGTTTCACTCCGTACTGGCGAAATCTGACACCTTCTCCAGTTCCTGCAAATCTTTAATATTTGTCGAATTATCTATCCCCTTATCCAAATGTTAATCAATTGAAGTATCACTACGTTTCTGTGCTCTTTTTTCACCTGCTCTACACAAGTTTGATAACTTAAAATGATGCAGCTCTATGAAAGCTTTTACGCCGATGCGTCAGTCAGTGGTAGTCAAACAAGACTGGCTGAGTTTCCGAGGTAGAACTCTGCATAGAAGCTCAGCAGCTTAAGTTGCAATACTTCACAGAAGTACACAAACGTCGAAGAGGTATGCAAAGGAAATATAATAAGCGAAAGGGTAGGCAAAAACCAAGTCGACGCAGTTCATACAGTGGAAGCATGTGCACCCTTGTGAACAACTTTGAGCCATGTCAAGAATAGTCTGAAACCATTATTTCTTAGCGTTTCCACGACACAAACCCGGCAGTTGACATCCAACTGACAGTCAAAGACTTCAGCTATTGAGGCCAGATTTTGATTTCATCACACCCAGCTTTCTCCAACCTAATCATATACCAAATAACAATTCATGAGGAGGTAGGCGATCGCCTGACATGCGTAACACGTGTCCAAGCCACCTCACTCGATGAAGCTTCACAGACTCATCAACTGACTTCCCCTCCTCACCTAACACTCGACGCCTGATCTACCTAAATATAACTCACCATATTACACCGGTTAAGACGGGAGAAGGGACTCAAACACCTACGGGTCAAAACACAACCAGCTTCTTCATATCTTCTCCCACTCACAACGGTCATGTCTCACAACCGTTAAAAGGACGGAGTGAATCACTGTGCAGTACATACGTCCTTTGATAGATAGCCGGAGATCATGTCTACACCAGAGATGAGACAAGTCGACAAATCCGAAACTAGTCTGTTGTATTCATGATGAGATTTCGTCAACAATCAATCCATTAGGGTGTATGCAACTTCTCAAATAAGTGAATTGGTCAACACACTCAACCGTCTCACTCCCTATCTTTAAACTAGTAGTTAGTCAGCAAAGACCACTCGTGAAGTATCATCTTACATTTGGCAGTCGCGGATTTTATGTAGGGAAGCGATTGGCTTTCATATGAGTCCGCATTTAACAAAAATAGTCTATTCGCGCGATTATCTACACGACAGAATTCTAGGTGGGTGGACACATACAAGGACAAGAAGCCGAATTCACTTTAGCACACCGATGCCTTGATCGTATGCTTGTCTCTCGCCGACTCCTTGAACGGCGTCATAAATATTGAAGGTAAAGAATTGTTATTTCTTGGTGTTGGAGTCAACATTGACTCGATCGACCTAACTACCATTAGGAAATGTATCTTGAAGAAGTGTATCACTGTGAAGTCTGACAACATCCCTAAAGAGCTATTTAAAACGCCTTGGAAATGGAGGAGGAGGGTGAGACAGACAGAGGCAGACAGAGAGGGAGAGCGAGCGAGCGAGAGAGAGAGAGAGCATCCAGTGACTTTGCACAACCAGATATAGTGTTTATTCAGGTTTGCTAGCCTCGACATTTTGAAGGCTAGCTACTCTGAAGATATGCTAAATGAAGGAATACTATTCAGCGATATTTTCTCATTTCTCTCTGACAATGCACAAAGTAACTTGGAAGGCTGGCGACAGCCTGAGATATTACTCACGTCGGTAGAGGCACAACACGAAGTAGTCAAATATCTCATGTATTCAAGTGGTAGTGTAGGTATGACAGTTGAGTTGAGATTACCCGGTCTATATCGAAATCCAAAATGGCATGTGTCAAATAAAATAGTCTTCAAGATTACGATGTGAATGTGGTTATGGAAGGTCGACTTTCGAACGGGTTGGTGTATGCAGTTTCACTCCGTACTGGCGAAATCTGACACCTTCTCCAGTTCCTGCAAATCTTTAATATTTGTCGAATTATCTATCCCCTTATCCAAATGTTAATCAATTGAAGTATCACTACGTTTCTGTGCTCTTTTTTCACCTGCTCTACACAAGTTTGATAACTTAAAATGATGCAGCTCTATGAAAGCTTTTACGCCGATGCGTCAGTCAGTGGTAGTCAAACAAGACTGGCTGAGTTTCCGAGGTAGAACTCTGCATAGAAGCTCAGCAGCTTAAGTTGCAATACTTCACAGAAGTACACAAACGTCGAAGAGGTATGCAAAGGAAATATAATAAGCGAAAGGGTAGGCAAAAACCAAGTCGACGCAGTTCATACAGTGGAAGCATGTGCACCCTTGTGAACAACTTTGAGCCATGTTAAGAATAGTCTGAAACCAT